TTTGGGACACCTTTTCTAGTCCATTCCTCATGCCATGGAGGTGAGCAGTGCATTCCTGAAGAGGCCTGCTCAGTCACTCAGATGGCTGCCAGACTCCACCGCTGCTCCGGTCGGTAAAGAACGACCCTATGGCCTGAGCCACCTGTGTGCAGGTCCGCGGCTACGACTTCCAGTGTACCCACACCTGTCGCTTTGTTGCTCGCCCGTCACCACAAGTCTTGGGTGATGAGATGGGATAAAGGATGACTGATGACATGCGCTGTGACTTTGTTTAAAGTAAGGAAGAGTTGCGCAGCGTCGACTTCACTCTCTCGTCCGGAGCCATCTGAGGCCAGTGGCAAGACAAAGTCGAGACGACTGGAGATGGGATCGGATGCAGTGGATAACCAGGATGTCCTTAGTGCCTCATCGTGCCCTTAGCACTCCACAACGCCTTGCTGGAACTGCCTTTCTGCCCGTTGAACCAATCTAGTGGTTTCATCCAGAGCCAGTCTTCCCATGCTTAGGTAGGCAAGCCCTAGTTGACTTTACCGGGGGTCAATGACCTGACGGCTACCCTCACTTGGTTTAGCCGGCCTGTCGAAGCCATTGCCCGGGGTGTGGCTGCTGTCGCATGCTAACAGCTACTTGGAGCCACAAGTGAGAGCTGGGTGTCAGGTGGGGACCAAAAGCTGGCGAGCTGCCCCGAGAAGGGCACGAAAAGCTCCCCCATGCCAGAGGTACTACCCATCCCTGAACACCCCAAACACCCCTTAATTTCCAAACTACGAATTCTCTGCACTACATTCACCAAATGCTCTTATATGAATGTGAAATACACCTACCATCCGACTTATGACAGAGTTCGGTTCCAAGAAACCGGTCGTAAGTCGAAATGGTCGTAAGTCGAACTTTACTACTGAATATCAACGTAACATATTTGTAATGACTTTATTTTATTGTTTTATTTTGGTATTTCATGTTTTACTTTACTTTTTATGCTGTTAGTACTGTATTTTATACTGTAAGGTTTAGGATAAACACTGTGTACAACACAAACACTTGTTTATTTCCCAGAAATTTGGCATAAAAAACACGGTCGTAAGTTGAGTCATCGTAAGTCGAGCAGGTCGTAAGTCAGATGGTAGGTGTATATGTGATGAATGTTGGAACAAGGAGAAGGCTGGAGGCAGTGGAGATGTCATGTCTGATAACAATGTGTGGTGTGAATATAAAAACTCTTTATGTAAATAAAAAATTAAAGTGGAATTCATCTGTGAAGCCTGGAGATGTAACTAATAAACAGAAGAAATGTTATTTTAGTGCCAGGAATGCCTGCATTGTTTGTTCTGGACACTACTTTGAAATTGGAATATTTTGAACTGTGTGTGAAATTGGCTAATTTACCAATTTCTGATCACTTTATTGGGTAGTTGAAATAGTTGGTTGGGCAGTTTCTTGTGGTCAATCGATAAAATAGAATTAATTCTAGTGAAACAGCTAAAAATTTGGTTGACTGGAATAATGTAATTGGCCTAAAATATGAGTCAGTGGGCTAAACCGCCAATGTGTAAATATCGCTGACACTGTAAAATTTGCGATAGTGTAATTTCATCAGTTTTCCATCAAATTTCATTGTTTTATTACCTCGAAAATTCTTGGCTCCTCAGGGTTAGCCCCCAAACCCTTCAAAATCCCCCTCTTGACACAATGTGGCCACAATTTTCTCCAAGCAGAGTTCAAAGTCCTGGAAGTCACTCCCTCTCAAGCCTTACCTATAAGGTTTATGCAATGGAGGATATTAAAGTGATCTTTCCAGAACTCTCTTAGGGTCAGTTCAGTGTCTGAGGTCACTTGGAAGCACTTTTGCAACACTGCATTGGTGTACAGTTTTTTGAAGTTTGAAATGACCTGCTGGTCCATGGGCTGGAGGAGAGGAGTGGTATTAAGGGGCAAGAATTTCACTGTGATGAAACGAAACTCCTGCACCATTTCCTCTTCCAAGTCTGGAAGATGAGCAGGAGCATTGTCCATTACCAAGAGGCATTTGAGTTCCAATTTATTTTCCAGGAGGTATTTCTTCACGCTGGGGCCAAACACTTCATTGAACCAATCAAGGAAAATTCCCCTCGTGACCCATGCCTTACTGTCAGCCTTCCACATCACAAACAGATTAGCCTTGGCAACACTGTTTTTCTTGAACACTCTGGGTTTTTCAGAGTGATACACCAGTAAAGGCTTCACTTCAAAATCCCCACTAGCATTACTACAAAACATGATAGTTAGCCTGTCTTTCATAGGCTTGTGTCCTGGCAGTGCCGTTTCCTCCTGCGTGATGTAGGTCCTCTTTGGTATTTTCTTCCAAAGCAGGCCTGTTTCATCACAATTGAATATTTGTTGGGGTTTGAATTGTTCAGTCTCTCTGTACCCCTTGAACTCCTGAACATATTTTTCAGCCGCTTTTTTTGTCAGCACTCGCACCCTCGCCATGCCTTGCCACACTGTGTATGCCACTACACTTCTTAAATCTCTCAAACCAGCCTTTGCTGGCCTAAAATCACAAACATCAGGACTCGTTGCAGGCATTTTCTTTACGAGATCGTCATGCAACTGCCTTGCCTTTTCACAAATTATCGACTGCATAATACTAACTCCTGGTAACTGTTTTTGGGTAATCCACACCAACAATAACCTCTCCAGTTCTTCGAGGATTTGTGATCACTTTTTTGTCAGCATATCTACCCCATTTGCAACAACAGCTTCCTTGATTTCCTTTTCCTTCACCACGATCGAAGTGATGGTTGAATGGGGGTTGCCATACATCCTGGCAAGCTCTGGAACATACACTCCACTATCATATTTTTCAATGATTTCTTTCATTAATTCTTTTAATTCTCACTTCGTTTACCAAAGGGCTGGCACTAGCTTTCTTTGGGCCCATGGTGACTTATTTGGCAGTTGGAAGCACAAAAAAGAATGGAATATTATGAAATGTATCGTATCAATGCGTGCGATGATGGTCACTCACTGATGAACAATGGCACATTGAGTGTGAATTGTGCAGGAGACTGGCTTTGTGTGCGTGCTGACGCTGAATGCATACCAGACAATTGCTGAATCACGAGGCCAATCACAAACCACGAGGCTATATTTTGCAAAAAAAAAGTTGCCAAAAGTCAGATTTCATGAAGGTCGTGGCCACCGAAACGGGGGTTCACCGTACTTCAATATGACACTAATGTCAACTCTATGGCTTATTTATCTATTGCAGTTCATCTAATAACTAATATCAACTCTATGGCTTATTTATCTATTGCAGTTCATGTAATATGACATAATAAACAATTAATATAGAAACATGATAAATACTATAGAATGAATAAAATAGTCCATAATATAGCAAGTGATGGCAGCATCCATTCTCTCGCCCGCTGACTATATCTTCCCATGGTTTCATTATAAGAGAAAACTGAGTGTTTGTGAGGCTAACTGCACTAGTTTCCTAAATAAGTTTCATAAATAAGAAATATTGTATAAAAACAGAATAGAGAATGTAATGAAATAGTGGTTTTATAAAGTGTACATATGCTGGTGGAGGTGGAGGGTGGAAGACAGGCTTCTTGCTACTAGCTCCTACTGCCACTGCACACCTTGCTTGTTTATCTATGGTTTCATGCTGTAATTCCGTGGACATCATCCTCTTTTTCTTCTGAGCACTGTCTTTTGCACTTAATTTCTTAGGGCCCATGGTTAGAAAAAAGAAATTTGGCAATAATAACTTGAGAAATGCTTCCACGGTGACATAAACACATTGCACAGCTCACCTGATGTTGTGGCGTTGGCTGTGCCACCTAGTGGCAATGTTCTGAAACTCGCTCATCATTATTTTTATTATACAGTGGACCCCCGCATAACGATCACCTCCGAATGCGACCAATTATGTAAGTGTATTTATTTAAGTGCGTTTGTACGTGTATGTTTGGGGGTCTGAAATGGACTAATCTACTTCACAATATTCCTTATGGGAACAAATTCGGTCAGTACTGGCACCTGAACATACTTCTGGAGAGAAAAAATATCGTTAACCGGGGGTCCACTGTATTATTATTATTATTTATTTATTATTTATTTTTATTATGTATTATTATTATTATTGTTAATAATTTAGGGAATTGGAGCACAGATCCAATTCCCTAGATCAAGAGCCCCTCATCATCAGTGTCAAGGAACCTCCCTTGAGGGGGAAGCTTGCAACCTGAATTTTGGCTCTTATCCAGGAGCAAAAAATCAACTGAGTGACGACTTGTATCCTGAAAAACTCGCATGGTGGGGCACTCGTAAGCAGAGGTTCCACTGTATTTCCACTACTTTGAGGGCAGTTTGAAGCTACTTCCTGTCCTGGAACCAACTAAAGTATTCTCCGTTTCTGTAGTATGTTTTACTTTTTATTGAATTATAACAACTATAAAAACGATCCTAGAAATCCTTCCAAAATCATTTAAAGTGAGCACAAGGTCAAAGTTTTACTTTTCCCATCATGCATTGCATGAGGTGGGATTTTTTTCTGTACACACTTGCTACACAAACCAATTCTTTCATATCTAGGCCAAGTTTACCATTCATACCACATCTGAGTGAGCTGAACTCATAACTTAGATTTGTAATGGACCCCTGCCATCAGTAATGTAGTTCTACATGATGGACAGTGTAAGGGTTTAATGCTTTGTGTAAAATCTAAAACCACATAACTGATCACAGTCTTCTATTACCTTACCACCTCAGACTTTATGCTCTTGGTGTTTGTATTAAGACTTGGTTGCTTTTCTTACAGTTTTTAAATTATCAATACATTTTAATCTAAATTCATCTGTTAAAAAGCTTTGCAAATTTTCTTCATTGATAATTATATCTAAACTTATTGTCAACTTGATATAAAAATTCATTTCTTTACTCAAAATAGTGTTTTAATGGACAACAAAAGCTGAAGTATAAATTTATATTCATTATAAAAATCTTTCCAGTATTATCGGCAAGCACGGCAACATGCTTTGCATGTTGTTTACCCAGAATTAGCACTTGAAGCTGATTCTGGTGCTGGTCGACTCAACTACCCGCGGCCACTCTCGGAGCCTCCATCACCCTCCTCCTCTAGAGCTACTACACCTGCACCTTCAGAACAAGGCTCTGATGAAGAGGAGGAGGAGGAAGACAGTGTTGATAGTGAAGCTGAGGTAAGTCTCAGGAAGTTGTATAATAAAGATGTCATTTGTAAATCTAATAATATTTGAAAAATTTATTACTCTTTATAGGCAAAGAAAAGAAGTTTTGAACAACAACAAAGTGTCCAGTAGTACAGAATTCTTGTTAGATCTGTAAATACTGTCATTAATATAAGTAATAGGGATATGGAGAAGTTAGAAGACATTGATTTGTTTGTGCTTTACCAAGGAAACAAGAAACTAGACCTGGAATAATGCATTCCTCTTATTGAAACAGTCTTGGAAGTGGTGCTTCAAGATGTAGGAACAAAAGCCGGCAAGCTAATAGATAAGAAATATGTAGAAATTTACAATGAGGATACAAAAATTAAAACATGGAACACACTGGGGGAAAGGAATAAGTAAGGAAAGTGATATTGTAACTGGAGAGGGAGGTGGTTTTGGAAGTGTAGATAAAGAGATATGAGGAGACTAAGCTGAAACTTTTAGAGTAGTTTTTAATAACCAGAAAACTAGTGACCTTACTATCAAGAAAAGAAGTACCACAATATGTAATGAGTTTTGGTCAAGGGGCAAAACTAGATGTGGTTGCTAAGTTGTTTTTGGGGGTCGAGAGTTAGCACCTGGCACTGTCTTCTGGATCACTTGATGGCATCACTGACTTCTGACCTCTTGGGTTTTAATATATTTAATCTTGAAGCTGTGTATTAAGTTTGCCTCCACCACTGCATCATCCAAGTCATTCCACTTTTCAACCACCTTGTGACTAAAGAAATGCTTCATTTAATTCCTGTGGCTCATTGGCTTTTTCATTTTCATCCTATGCCCCCTTGATCCTAGTCCTCTTAACTCAGTCTGTCCCAAGATGCCCTGTCAATTCTTCTTAAGATTTTGTACATAGTGATCATGTCCCCCTCACTTTATTCTTGATGAGTTCATCAGATCTCTTTTCCTACTTCTTTTCGTCGTGCTTGGAATGAATCTTACCTATGCCTCTTGGCACTTTGTCTCTTGCCCTCTTTATTTTTTGCACAGTTCTGCCTTTTAGTTCCCTTTCCTATTCCACTTTGTTCAGAAAAATTTTCATGCCATTATTGTTCCTTCTTCTATAGTCCCATTTTTTTTTTGTTAATTTCTTTGTCCCATTCTGTCCACTCTTTCTTTCTCCATTCCCCTTTCTACCAGATACTTAAAGCTTAGTACCACATGATTGCTGTCTCCTAGTGGTTACCCAAAATTAGTTTCCACTATGACAAAAATCGGTGAAGATCTTTCTCTTCTTTCAACGCACTGGCCATAGCCCACCAAAACAGGGTGATCCAAAAAGAAAAATGAAAGTTTCTCTCTATAAATTTAGTAATACAGTCTCTCCTCGCTTAACGATAGAGTGCCATTCCTAAGAACTCGTCGGTAAATGAATTCGTATTGAAGTAAGGAGCATACTGTAATGGTAGAGGGTTTGTATCGACCATCTTTGGTATCGTTTTAATCCTTTGACTGTCGCAAGCCCATTTCTGAAAGTGTCATTCTGTGTCGAAAAATATTCGAAAAATAAAAAAAATTATTTTTTCTTACCAAAATGTTAGGATTATTTTGCTGAGTGTTTTAAGCCTAAAAAAATTTTTTGTGGTCATTACTTACCGAGATATAGAGCCGTAAAGTTGGCAGAAAATGAGTTGCGTATGGCAACATCGGTGAATGCCGCTCACCCGGTAAACTTTTTTTTCCTCCCATTTGAAGGTATCTTGCTTTTTCTTCTACTTTATTTTTTCAGATAACTTATGTAGCCTGTAAGACCAAAGTAAGGTGCAATGTACATATACAGTGGACCCCCGCATACCGATTTTAATCCGTGCAAGAGGGGTCATTGGTATGCGAAATAATCGGTATGCGAATGAATTTTCCCCATAAGAAATAATGGAAATCAAATTAATCCGTGCAAGACACCCAAAAGTATGAAAAAAAAAAAAAATTTACCACATGAAATGTTAATTTTAATACACACAAACTGAAAAAGGCATGCACACTTACATGACACTTACTTTTATTGAAGATCTGGTGATGATTGATGGGATGGGAGGAGGGGAGAGTGTTAGTGTTTAGAAGGGGAATCCCCTTCCATTAAGACTTGAGGTGTCGAGTCCTTTTCTGGGGTTACTTCCCTTCTTCTTTTAATGCCACTAGGACCAGCTTCAGAGTCACTGGACTTCTTTCGCACAACATATCTGTCCATAGTGGCCTGTACCTCTCGTTCCTGTATGACTTCCCTAAAGTGTTTCACAACATTGTCAGTGTACAGGTTGCCAACACGGCTTGCAATAGCTGTGTGAGGGTGATTTTCATCAAAAAAGGTTTGCACTTCAAGCCACTTTGCACACATTTCCTTAATCTTTGTAGTAGGCAACTTCTTCAATTTCTCTCTCCCCTCCTCTGAACCAGTTTCCTCAGGTCTGGCCTCTTGCTGTTGAAGTTGATCTATCAGCTCATCAGTGGTTAGTTCTTCATTGTCCTCCTCCACCAACTCTTCCACATCCTCCCCACTAACCTCCAACCCCAAGGACTTTCCCAATGCCACAATGGATTCCTCAACTGGCATAATCCTCTCAGGGTTAGCCTCAAACCCTTCAAAATCCCTTTTGTCTACACATTCTGGCCACAGTTTCTTCCAAGCAGAGTTCAAGGTCTTCTTAGTCACTCCCTCCCAAGCCTTACCTATAAGGTTTACACAATTGAGGATTTTAAAGTGCTCTCTCCAAAACTCTCTTAGAGTCAGTTGAGTTTCTGAGGTCACTACAAAGCACCTTTCAAACAGAGCTTTTGTGTACAGTTTTTTGAAGTTTGCAATAACCTGCTGGTCCATGGGCTGCAGGAGAGGAGTGGTATTAGGAGGCAAAAACTTGATGTTAATGAATTTCATGTCCCCATAAAGTCGCTCTGCCACGTTTGTAGGATGACCAGGGGCATTGTCTAACACCAGGAGGCACTTAAGTTCTAATTTCTTTTCAGGTAGGTAATCTTTCACATTGGGTGCAAATGCATGGTGTAACCAGTCATAGAAAAAGTCCCTAGTGACCCATGCCTTACTGTTTGCCCTCCACAGCACACACAAATTCTCCTTGAGGACATTCTTTTGCCTGAACGCTCTGGGAGTTTCAGAGTGATACACTAATAAAGGCTTAACTTTGCAATCACCAGTAGCATTGGAACACATCAACAAAGTAAGCCTGTCTTTCATAGGCTTATGTCCTGGGAGTGCCTTTTCCTCCTGAGTAATGTAGGTCCTGCTTGGCATTTTCTTCCAAAACAGGCCTGTTTCATCACAATTAAACACTTGTTCAGGTTTCAGTCCTTCAGTCTCTATGTACTCCTTGAATTCATGCACATATTTTTCAGCCGCTTTGTGGTCCGAACTGGCAGCCTCACCATGCCTTATCACACTATGTATGCCACTACGCTTCTTAAATCTCTCAAACCAACCTTTGCTGGCCTTAAATTCACTCACATCAGCACTAGTTGCAGGCATTTTTTTAATTAAATCCTCATGCAACTTCCTAGCCTTTTCGCTTATGATCGCTTGAGAGACGCTATCTCCTGCTAGCTGTTTTTCATTTATCCACACCAATAAGAGTCTCTCAACGTCTTCCATCACTTGCGATCTTTGTTTCGAAAACACAGTTAAACCTTTGGCAAGAACAGCTTCCTTGATTGCCTTTCTGGTGCCCACAATAGTAGCGATGGTTGATTGGGGTTTCTTGTACAACCTGACCAGGTCGGCGATATGCACTCCACTTTCATACTTATCAATAATCTCTTTCTTCATCTCTATTGGAATTCTCACCCTTATTGCTGTAGGGTTGGCACTAGAAGCTTTCTTGGGGCCCATGGTCACTTATTTTCCAGAAAAAGCACCGAAAACACTGTAATAATACGAAATATTCCCATTGTATGCTTGGATGTTACCGCGGAGGCTGGCTGGTAAACAATGCCACCGGCGGCACATGTGAGGCTGGCTGAAGGCGCACATTGGACACGTCTCGGCCGAAAATCGGTGAGCGGGTTTTTAAGCGGTATGCGAGGCAAAATTTTTGCGATTAAAGCAAGCGGTATGCGAGGCAAAATTTTTGCGATTAAAGCAAGCGGTATGCGGATTAATCGTTATGTGATGCCATCGGTATGCGGGGGTCCACTGTATACACTCATTGTATACAACACAAGCACACAAACATAATTATCAATATATTGTGTACAAAACTTGTTTACACAAACAATACAAAAAATTGTTTATTACTATTGTTCTATGGTAGGGGACCTGAATGCTAAAGTAGGAGAAACTTTTAGAGAGGGTGTGGTAGGTAAGTTTCAGGTGCCAGGTGTAAATGATAATGGGAGCCCTTTGATTGAACTTTGTATAGAAAGGGGTTTAGTTATAGGTAATACATATTTTAAGAAAAAGAGGATAAATAAGTATACAAGATATGATGTAGGGCGAAATGACAGTAGTTTGTTGGATTATGTATTGCTAGATAAAAGACTGTTGAGTAGACTTCAGGATGTACATGTTTATAGAGGGGCCACAGATATATCAGATCACTTTCTAGTTGTAGCTACACTGAGAGTAAAAGGTAGATGGGATACAAGGAGAATAGAAGCATCAGGGAAGAGAGAGGTGAAGGTTTATAAACTAAAAGAGGAGGCAGTTAGGGTAAGATATAAACAGCTATTGGAGGATAGATGGGCAAATGAGAGCATAGGCAATGGGGTCGAAGAGGTATGGGGTAGGTTTAAAAATGTAGTGTTAGAGTGTTCAGCAGAAGTTTGTGGTTACAGGAAAGTGGGTGCGGGAGGGAAGAGGAGCGATTGGTGGAATGATAATGTAAAGAGAGTAGTAAGGGAGAAAAAGTTAGCTTATGTGAAGTTTTTACAAAGTAGAAGTGATGCAAGGAGGGAAGAGTATATGGAGAAAAAGAAAGAAGTTAAGAGAGTGGTGAAGCAATGTAAAAAGAGAGCAAATG